TACGGATCTTTGGGTTAGCATCCTGGGTCTGCACCACCAGCTTCACGCGCTCGATCGGGGCCGTCAGCGTCTTGGACACTGCGCCGGACACGCCGCCCAGCATGAAGTCCATCACGAACGCCTGCATATTGCCGTCCTTCGCCATGACGACAAGCTTGGAAGAACGAGGCTAGTCTGTGTCAAGGCTTGGGCCGTAGGAACTTGAGCCGCAGCCCAACAAACATTGAAGATGTGATTACATGCAAGGAGCAAGTATAGTACCAGTCATACTGATTGTGGTAATGTCACCAAGAGTAAACATGGGAACACTAGCTATATTTATTTCAGTACTAACGACAAGAAGAATCACAACAGCAACAACACGCATAGTCAGAATCAACAACGAGATCTAATTTTCGCTAACAGCGTCCCTGATAATCATATTCTCCGCTCCTGGAGCGAGTTATGTCAGCAAATGACAACTGATGACAAAAGTCCTCTTCCCTCCCAAGAGGTGGAGGTCTTCCACTCGAGCGCTGAAAGAGGCCCCTGAATTCCAATACATTATAGTATATCCTGATATATGCTGGTATATCATGGCATAACCCACTATGATGTACTCATGTACTTCAATGCTTCACCGCTTGCGCTGATCCCTGCCTTTGTCTCCCCATTTCTCATTGCGTGGCTCCGAAGCAACAACAGCTTCGGACCTTCCGTCTGTGAGTGAGGCTTCGTCCAGTATAGGAGCTCACAAGCAGGATCTACGGCTTGGTCCCAAGAGTTTAGAGTCTATGACTGGAGCGAAGCCACTTACCGCAAGTCCGTTCCTGGACTTGAGGCCTTGTTGGCAAGGCTCTAAATCAATGTTTCGGAACTTTCAAGGTACACGGGAGGCTCATACCGCCAAACACACCTCGTCCTCTAGAGCAAAGTGCGGTTCACGGCGGGTTCCCTGTGTCAGTCGGAGATGAATACAACCAATTATTAAACATGTTCTTAAAAACAGGTTTGAATTGTTTTCTGCCAGTACGCTTACAGTGAGCCAGCAACAGTTGACTGGCTTAGGGCTTAGCGTCTAGTGTTTAGGGGTTACGGTTTAGGCTGGAGGGCAAGTCAACTGGATCTCCAGCTATCTAGTACATGAGCGGCCGGACCCCTAAACTACCCTAAACCCTAAACCTTGGGTACTGCCCCCACTCAGTAACAGTTGGATAATAAGTATAATATGCTTATATATAGCCCTTAATAGAAGACCTAATATAGACTGTTACTGGGGGGGAGCAGGACCCAACCTAAACCCTGCCTAGGACCTCATGGTACCACTGCAAGACCATTTTGGCTTTACAACAGCCCAGGAGTGAAGGTTTATGCTTTGGCTCGTTCCTAGAAGCATCAGCGAGACACCCATTTTCGTCCACTCTCCTGAGTGTCTGTCTGTAGTGCGGAGCTCCCTACCACGGAAAAAGCCAGCTGCACATCTCGTGCCAAGCCTCCTTCCTTCGGAAGGCCCTTTTTAGGAACAATTATCCCCAGGGAGGCTGAGGGCGGGCGAGCAGAAATAGGCTACAGTAATAAGTACAGAGTGCACTTGCCCAGCAATAACGCACTTTGTGCATCCATGCTTTGGCTCGTTCCTAGAAGCATCAGCGAGACACCCATTTTCGTCCACTCTCCTGAGTGTCTGTCTGTAGTGCGGAGCTCCCTACCACGGAAAAAGCCAGCTGCGCATCTCGTGCCAAGCCTCCTTCCTTCGGAAGGCCCTTTTTAGGAACAATTATCCCCAATCCCACTGAAATGGCCCTAGGGTGGTTGTGGGTGGGAAATTTTTTGAAAAGTCAGCACAGGATCAAACTTTTTGACGCCAAGAAACCGTCAAGTAGGGCTTCTGCAAAGCGTCGCGGATAGACCTGTGCTTGCTCAGTCACAAACTTGGCTCCAGAGACCCCTGTCAACTGCAAGTGCTTTCGCCCTGTCCGATCACATGCATGCCGGCCATGACACTTGAGCATATCGAAAGGCTGGACATTCCACACCAAAAGTCCTGTAGCCTTGCGCCATTGAGTGCCGTACATGCACATGTGGGTCTTGATGAAGTGAACGCGAGGGTCCTGGAGCAAACGTTTGACAATCTTTGACTTCCAGATTCTTGAAGTTAACGGGTTTTCAAGGTAACCAGGAATGCCCAATTTCAAGCACTTCTTGACGAGCTTGCGAGCACCATACAGCATACGATTAGCTTTCAGCACTTTTTCTCTGTCAGTGGGAGGCAGATCTGGCAAGCCCATGATGTGCTCTTCGGAGTCACCCCTCAAAGGCTGTGGCATTCTCGACCCACGGGGCGCCCTACGGGCGCGACTCCACGTATTGCATGGGATATCTATCCCCACCAAACTGAAAAAATGCACTTTTGAACACACGCTGTTCCAGTGCTTGCTCTTTGAAAGGTCGTTGGAAGCTGAGTGTACCAAATCAATAACTGCTGACTGCCCCCCCCAACGTGCAAAGGCCTTGGCAATCTCTGCTGCACCTCCAAAGAGACTCAGGAAGTTTTTCCCGCAAAGGCTTGCGAGGCTTTGGCCCGTAGGACCTGCGGCAGCGGGCAAGTACCACTGCGGTAGTAGGCAAGGAAATTCAGTCTGACCCTTTCTCCAAAGTCTGCCCATTTCGCATGCCTGCTCACCATCTGCTGCAGCCTCCCAGGCTTGTCGTAAATCCTCGCGCTTGAGTCCACTGCCCATCTTCCACGTCTCTGGATGGAGGCCACGGTCCTCAGCTTGAGCAAGTGGTCCCGGCTGGCACCATGCCGATTCTGGTAGGGGCTGATTGCACAGTCGTCCACAGACAATGCTTTCACAGCCTTCCTCCAGCTCGTCAAGAACTCCTTGGCACTGAAGGTCCACATGTTGGCCGTCTCCCCATCTTGCCGCAGTCGCTCCCGGACGTGGTCCTCCAAAAGCTGGGGCAAGAAAGAAGCTCTCTCGTCGTCCAAAATGCTGACCTCGTCGTAGATCCCCGCCTTGCTTGACTCTCCCCGCTCGAAAGGGGCCAAAACCAGGATGGCATGCCGATACCCCTGGGGATTGTGGCTCCTCCCAATGAAATCCGCCGCCTTGAGGCGAAGGGCTTCTCCTGGACGAAGGTAGGTGGAAAACGTGGTCTCGTTGTACAAGGCCATGTCCCTCTTGCCTGCCCAAATTAGCAGTCCAGAGATAGCCCCCTTCACGAACTCTATCATGGGGAGTCTCGTCTGTACGGGGGCCAAACGCCTCCATCCCTTCAGGGACCTCTTGAAGCGAGGAAGTCTCAGGGACCCTTCTCCAGCCCCCTCCTACCAAAACTCCAGGGCCGCCTGCAACTTCTGGCCAGAGTTCGAGTCTTCGCCACTCAGGTACAGGAAGTCGGCGTAGTCGGACAGCGCCACGTCTAGGTCGTTTTCCTTCCCGATGGGAAGCTCGTGGAAGGCCACAAAGTCATAGAACAGGTTCAGCTTCTTCTCGTAGTCTTTCCTCGTGGTCTCTTTCACACTGCCCAGCTCCAGGACAGTCTTGAGCCCTAAGCTGGCCCTCATCTTCTTGCCATATTTTCTCTCCCGAGCTCGTGCCCGGTTTCTCCACTTCTCCTGAGCCTTCAGGACGGCGCGAAGATCGGTTGGCACGGCCACTCGTGCCTGTCGCTCTCGAAGGCGGGACCTGCTGCGGCTCCGAGTGGTCCTCTCCTCCTCGTCCAAAGGATGAGGACTCCGGCACCGTTGGTTCGCCTTTCTGACCTCCTCCAACGTGAGCACTTCCACCTTCCTCTTTGGCGGGGGCCTCGAACGCCCGTTTTGGCCCGACTTCCCAGGCCCTGCTGTCACGGTCTGCGACATTCAGTTCAGATGCTACCCATCTGGTGACAAGCGTGACCCCACATGCCAAACTGTGTGCCCAAGTTCTGCGGAGGAGGCGCAACAGACTAAAACTTGCGCACCGTCCCTTCATGAGTGCCAGCACCACGCCCATGTTGTCATTTAGCACTAACACTCTCTTGCCATGACCACGGGAATCCCTTGTGATATGCTTCATGGTGGCCAGGATGCTACGACACTCCAAAAGGTGCACAGGCTCCTTGCGTTGGAAAGGAGCTCGCCAAAGAAGGCGCCACTCCTCTTGATCAAGTAGCTCAGGTGGCACCTCAGGAAAGTTCTCAGCAACTGCCACGTCTCCAAACACTTCACCCTCTGCCGCGGGCAAAACTGTCTCTACATCCTCGAACACGTCCATCGATCTCAAAGCCATAGCCCTCGGTGCTACCTTGGACCCCGGCGTACGGTAGAATCTCCATCGCTCGTCCTCTGCCCCAATCCGCCTGACGGTAGCTGCATCAAGGCTCCGGCCCATGACTGCATAACCCGACAAGCAAGCGTCAGTGCAAAAGACATGTTCACTCCATGCGGATCTCATATCCTTCACCCCCAAGACCATGAGGCACCTGAACAGCTCGATTTCCCGAATAACCGAAGGCCATAGCCGTGTTCTTGACGCATAGCACTCCTGAATGAATTGGCAAACATGACGTAGAACACTAAGCAGTCCCCTATGCAGCATAGCCCTCATTGTCATGTGCCCCACAATGACTTGCAGCTCCTCGCCCGACAAGGTGATCCGCCCACTGCAAGCCAAAAGAGCCTGGTCGAGGTCGCACGCTGGTCGTTCAAAACACTATCCCGATCGATCCCCAAATGATTGCAGTTGTCTGCATATATGAGAACGGCCTGTCGGCATCCATCCACGGAGTTTCCCATCATGGGAGCCGGCCGCCTGTCTTGCACAACTCTTGCCGTGGGAAGCGTCCGGGTAGATAACTCAGCATGAGCCATGTGTGCCAAATGAAATGCCCAGCTGAATCCCATCGGCAAAACGGACATGTGTGGATGTATATCAGCCTGGCTGTCATCAAGAAGCTTAATCACTGCGTCCGGCATGTACCCCAACTGCTCCTTCAGCAAGACAGGGTCAATCTTTGGGAAACAAAAGTATTCTCCAAGCTCTTTATCAATGCGGAGGCGGTAGAAATAGTCTCGGACATCCTCCTGGGCCATGAAGAGCTCGGAGCCACTCTCGCATTCGATCCTGGCCCAGCTATCCATGGAACCAAGCTGGGTACTAGGAGGAGTGCGAAAAAGCTTGTTGGTCCTTCTTGCATCCACGATAAGTCGCTGCTTCTCGCCCTTCTTTGTCACCACGAAAGCCCCAACCTGAACTCGCGGACGAACGGTGAAGTCAACCAACTTGCTGCGCACCAAATCCGCAATGAAGCTATGGTACTTCTTACCTCCACCCTCAAGTTGCGGATCCATGTACCTATCATTTTCTAGCCCCTTCTCCAAGACCCCGGCAATCTCTTCATCACTCAGCATCATCTCGGAACGGAAGTCCCTAAGCTGCCGTCCCTCCACCTCAGGCAACAGCTCATCCAACGACACTGGCTCCAACTGATCCCGGGGAAGTGAAAGTCGCTCTCTGACGTAGCTAGCTATCTGCCCCGGCAGGACGTCACCATAAGACGAACCCGCCTTCTTCGCCAGCAGCTGCCGAAGCGCTGCCTGGGGAGAAATCCTCGTAGGCGGCGGTGCCCTCAAAGTGTGCGCCCGCCAAACACGATCATGCACTGCCTTCTGAGCCCGATTCTGCACAAGGTGGGGCCAGAGGCTTTCATCATCAAAACCTGCCAAGTGGTTTAGGGCCCAAACCGTCCCCCTAGGGCGATCCACAAGCATCCTCCTCTTGCAAACCCTCTGACGAGACCTTCTAGAGTCCAAGTCACTCGCCACACCAGCGAACCCCGTGTCGGCGGGCAGGGGAAGGGGGAAGAGATCCCCATGTCGGCCAACGGGTTCATGAAAAATCTCTTCAGTGCAAAAACGGCCCTCGACCCCAGCACAGGCACTGACCATGCCAGAGTCGCCCCCCCTATCAGGGGGCTTCCTGCCCTTTGGTTTTGTCCTTGTTCTTACCGCCTCCCTTCGGCGGCCGCTCCTCCTCATCTCCTCTTTGCCTGAGATGCTTTCGCTCCTCAGCGGCGAGCCTGGTTTGCTTCATCACCTCCGCCTTTGCCGCTTGCCTTCTCGCAGCGTGCTGTGTCAATGCCGGGTCGACTACGCTGCCATCCACCGACTCCCTGATGCCCATAATCTCCTCAGCGGCCTCGTAAGAGGGGGCTTCTGGCCTCCCCTGATGCGCCACTTCAATCAATGAACGGCGTCTGTTTAAGGCTTCGGCTGAGGCAAGTGCAGGCAAGTTGAGTTGGTCATAAGACGCCATATAGTCCAAGACTCGGCATAGCGAAGCATGTTCAAAAACGGAACGATCAGCAACACGGACGCCGCTCTTCTTCAACCACGACTCATGGTGTTGGACGAAGCTCATCCCCAGTCGTCTCAGCTGTCTTGCATCTCGATACATGGTCCGAGGCCCTTGGAGAGGAAAATCTTCAAAATCAACCTCCTCAAAGTCTGGGAGCGCTTCGCTCAAGGTTCGCCATCGTTCCTCTGCTGTATCAAACAGGACCGGGAGGACTCGAACATCTCTCTCCCCTTTTGACTCCACATGGACGCGTGGCCTTGCCTGCTGACTAATCAAGGCCACGAGCCAAGACAACGTCACCTCCGCTTGTATACAGCTTGCGTGCGTGAGCTCCTGTCCGGACCAGGGGGACATCCTGCGAGGGCGAGACCTGAGTACCAAGAAGGCTTTCCCGTGTACTGTACACGACCACCCAGCTATCAAAGTCACTCTCCAGCTTTTCATGCCCATGGCCGGCAGGAGCTGCATCTCCCTGCGCCGCGGCACCTCGCGGAAGTTGCTCAGCATGACTCTTCCTTCTGAGGCGCCTTCTCGGACCAATAGCGAACAGAGATCTGTTGGAGCCATCGGGGAACACAACAACCTCGTCATCCAAGGGCGGGCCACCGTAGGCGGACTCATGCTCGCGCCAAGCCTGCAGGATCTTCTCCTCCAAAAACTCGGCGGTGACCTCCTCCTTGAACTTGTAGACGGGCCTGGTATACCTGGTTCTAGTCCCATAAGGCACCACTCGCACTCGCTGAGGGCCATCCTCAGCATCACCCCCAAGGTTCTCCTCATACAAGTCCTGGTCTGGAGTGACCACCCAGTACTCGTCCTTCCCGCCACCACGGAGCAAGACCAGTCGCTCGTGCCACACATCATCGTCTGTGTACCACACCCGAACTAGGCTGCCTAGTCTCATCCTCAATCACGCCTAGACCCCGCCTTCGCGGACTACCTCTAGGAGCGATATCGGAACCAGCAGTGGAAGGAGATTGTCTCTGTAGCAAAAGACGTGCAAGCCAAGCAGTAAACAAGTGGCTCACAATCAGCAGCAGCCCTAAACCAAGTTCCCAGCAGTTTGCAGTCCTGTCGCCCCCTGTGGGCGTCGGCTCTGGAAAGTCAGCCGGAACGATGTGGCAGTGGCAATCACAAGGCGGACAGCTACACGTGGGCCACGGTGCACGCGATGGCCCCTTTGAAAGCAACAGAGTCAGAGCTACTAGGGCTTTCTCCCACATTTCCGAGCAGAAATAGGCTACAGTAATAAGTACAGAGTGCACTTGCCCAGCAATAACGCACTTTGTGCATCCAGGGTGTTTTTTTTTTGCACACCTATTTTGCGTCTGCACGACACAACGAGCCGAAGCCCAGGTGATTGTTCGTTCATTGTCCACACTCACTCAGCCCCCTGTGACATCATCAGGCGATGAGCTATGAAACTCTCCAGCACATGCTCTCCGTACAAGTCACGGATTTGGTCGTTGCTGAAGCCCTGGGCACTCCATGCCTGGTAAACACTGGTTCCCTCCGAACTCACAAGGAAATCTCCCAAGTCCCCTATCTCAATCCTCACTCCCTGTCCGCGCTGCAAGACCCTTGAAGCCTGCTCACTGCTCTCAGGCGCCACCCTAGTCGGCTGCACCAGCTGCGTAGTCGACGAACTTGCCGATGTCGCCCGTCCAGCTGGCTCATCTTCCACCGACCAAGTGAGCCCCATGGTGATCGGCATATTCGGTCTCGTCCACAGGGTCAGCTTCTCCTGCACCACATTGTCTGCCTCCACTCACAGGCCCAGCAGGAGGCAGCCACGGTCATAGAGTCGCAGGATACAGTGGCCAGCCCAAGCCCGCTGGCACAAGCCGATTCCGAGTTGGATGCGATGGTTGAGGAAGAGGATCAGTTACGGAAGGAATTGCAACAACAAAAGGAGGACTTCGAAAGACAAAAATGGAACTATGAGCTGGCCCTGCATGAGGAGGACCTGCGGCGCCAACAGGAGCAGGACCACCACAACTGGGAAGTCATGCAGGAGATGGAAGCTAGTCAAGTGGCTCAGGCGTGGGATGATTGGGTGGTATGGGATGCCATGCACAGTGGCCCCCCTTCTCCGAAGCGCCAACGAATGATTATGCACGGTGGACGTCCTGCTTCTTGAAGTTTCTTCAGAAACAATCGCTTTGAGGAGCCGTAGCCACCACCTCTGGCCCCATTCCTTATCTTCCTGGTTTTCCACCCCGTCAAGCTCCCCAGTGTCAGCACCATAAGCTGAAACTGCAGCCTCCAACGCTGCAGCACGTTGTCCCATGCTGCATCTACCCGCATGGTTGCCATATCTTTTGCTGAGCAACCCTCGGCGCAGTTCTGCTCGGACCTGGGCTCGAACCTTCGGCAGCGCTCCAAGCTCATCCGTCAGAAACTGTAGGTCCAGGCCATAGGTGGAGATGCCTTCGTCCCGGTGATGGACTTTGGCCGAGGACTGCATCATAGCGCTTTCATCTTCCCCTTCATCTTCACCCCCTTCTTCTCCTCGCAGTTCCTCAATCCTGGCCTGGAGTATCTCCGCTATCTGGGCCGACTCCAAGCTTTGCAACTGCTGGTGCGCCACAAGCATTGTTGTCACCTCCGGCCCAGTCCACTCGCCTGACGTATTGGCAACCCTGTCCCTGACATACTGCGGGTACCCCAGAGTGTTGGGTTCATGCTCGTAGTCCAGGATGTCTCTCCACAAAGCCAATGCATCTGTTAAGGAGAGCTCCTCTTGCTGGGGTTGCTGTGCGCTGTTGCCGGCAGACGGCTGCTCAACCTCACGGCTGTCATCCTCCACTGCCACAACCTCCAACTCTTCCTCCGGAGCTGGCGCATGGCAAGATGCCTGAGGTCGCCTCTTGGAGTTCCAGGCATTGAAGGGGGTCAGCCGTCTTGTTTCGGAGGTCTTCTGCGTCTTTCCTTTTCTGCCCTTGCCTTTCGATTTCGGCTGTTGCGGCGGCGATGGTTCTCTCCACCTTTTCTTATCCTCCTTGTACCTTCTGCGGTGCTCCCAGCCACCTCCTGACGGCACCAACCATCTGTCGCGAGGATTTGCCTTTCTCCTCCACGGAGGGAGGTGGGTTGCATACGCCATCAAGGATGTGTGGTCGGGCTGCTCTGCAACATCCATTTCCGGCAACCATGCTGGTTTAATCTCCGGTCCATTTGCCATCATCTGCGCATCTCGGCCTTGTTGTAGGTCTTCTTGCCACCTCGCTCTAGCCGCAGAGCTCCCTCCCAAGGTGGACATCTCATCCTCCACGTTTGGCCTATGGTCAGTGGCCGGTCGGTCGGGGCATACTTCCTCCCCTGATGGCCCTGCGGCTTGTCCCTGCAGACTGCTCGAGGAGGAACTCGTCTTCTCTCCTTGTAAATCTTCCCCTTGGCGGTTGTCTCCATCAGGGCCATCCGCTTGCACCATAGCTTCCTGGCGTTGACCTTCCACTTCCTTTTTCCCATGTCTCCTGGACGCCATCCGGCAGGTTCGTCTCACTTTGGTCCAAAATCTTGATGCCCACGACGCATGGTGGTTAGAATGCACGTTCATGTAGTGGTTGAGGGATGCCGCCCAAGTATTTTGGATCGCACACAGCCTGCGACTCACTTGTCTCAAGCTCGGCATCCTGCTGCGCAGACCACGTCGCAGCACGCAGCCCATAATCCACACCAAGTCGCGCGCCATCCTTCCATCTCTCTGCCGCAGCTCCCGAATCTGGGCAACCAGCCCCTCGGCCAACTCATCAATGTCGTGCTCATCTAGTAGTCCCTGCTGAGCTCCGTCGGTGTCCATGAGCATAGCCACATCCCCTTCCTCTTCCAAGTGGCGCCACCCCAAAGTGGGTTGCGGCTGTTTCCCTCGGGCCGTGGCATTGTAGTCTTGCTCTGCTTCAGGACCCAGACTGTCTTCACTATTCAGGTCACAAGGGCCCAGGGTTGTGCCCATTCCTGTGCTTAGCCCATCGCCTGTAGATGTAGTACTCCAGCAAAATGCCTGGTACTGCTCGGTGTTGCTCCCCTCGCCGGTCTTGCCATGGCCTTGAAGGTGGGGGCGGTCCTCATCCAGTATGGGGGCTGGATTGTGTGCATAGGCGCACCATATGAAAAGGACGTACGAAGCACCAAGGCGCTTCACCATGATTGCGGTAGAATTCTAGCAAGGCACTGCTACTGGCTCTCACTGACATTCTCAGCCATTGGCGTCATTCATGCCAGGATTGTCACAGCATCACTGCCACTCCAGACTGTCTTGCCTATTGCTGCTCCATTCCAAGTCCATGCTCAAAACAAACCCCTTCCCTCTCTCCCTCCATGCTTGCCTGTCTTGCGCTATCTCTCCCCAGGGTCCTCCTGCTGCATGATTGAGTTTCTCTTCAAAGGGTATTAGCCTAGAATAAAATCTGGCCGGGTGACGTTGTCCACTCACCAGCTCCTTTTCCCGATTCCACCACTCCAGGGTTCTCCATCCATCTAGCTTGGAACTCACCAGGTCAACCCTTGTTGCACAGCGCGCTCGATGCCCTGCAAAGCCCCATACCCTTTCCAACCAGATTGTGGACCAGCGTTGACAATCCCACCTGTGCATAGCAGCCCTGGCCTCGCGTCTAACCCTAACGCGGTGCTCCAGCCACTGTTCCCCTGGTCTTCGATTTCGGCCCATCATCCACGTGCAGCGTTGTAGCTGTAGTTGATTTACAAGTCCCAGAGCATGTTTGTCCGGCATGATTGCACCACTGCGCCACAAAAGCCCTGCGCCAACAACACCGTTCAAAATGCGCAGTCGTTTTGCAAGGTTGGTCTTTTTGCACAACACGTGCTTCATGGCCCAAAAACTGTCTTGCGCTCTGCTCAAAAGTGGAGCAATCACTTGACATGTACTCGCAGTTACACCCATTTTCAATCCCATGACATCTAGCCGTCCTTCGCAAGCTAGCTTTTGCCCCTGTATGGTGATCGTGCGCTCGCCTGTTGCATAAGGGCTGCAGTAAAACTGGCATTTTTGCAGATTTATACTCAAACCCCATTCCTCCAGTTCTTGCGCCAATTGTTGCATGCGTGCCACCAATGTATCTGCATGTACGTCCCATAAGACCGCGTCGTCCATGAAAAGAGCCTCCCTAGCAGGCAAACCGTCTGCGTGCGGTACATCTGCACTCCAGCCATACCTGTCTGCTGTGGTTTGAAAGCAAAGCTCTGCAAGCAGACTAAACAGGGAGGGGCTCTCTACGGCTCCTTGACGGATCCCTGTGCTCATTTCGAAGCAGGAGGTTGCCCAGCTGGTTTGCAAGTGTGCCTGCGTAGGGGCTAAGAGTCCTTTGTAAGGCGGTTGTGGCCTAACTTGTCAAGAAGCATCCTCATGAGCCTGTGCCTGGAAACACGGTCGAATGCCTCTTGCACATCCACCTTGATCCACCTCATGCCCAGGCGCCACTCCCTCTCCACATGCATTAAACGATGGATGGTAAACACAAAGTCACTCGCCTGGCGGCCTGGGCCAGAGCACTGACGCCCCCCAGGTTCCCCGAGTTTGTCCTTACACCGTTCCAGAAGCATCCGTGAAAAGAGTTTGCAAGTAGCCGAGCTCAGGCTGATCGGTCTCACATGCTTCGCCTCCAAAGGTACCCTGATTTTAGGGAGAACAACCATCACAACTTCATTCCAACTTTGCGGCATTTCCCCTCGCATAAGGATACTGTTGAACCACTCAAGCAGTTTTGGCGCCGCATTTTCGTCCCTGGTGATCTGCAACAACAACTCATGTGATACCTCATCACTTCCTACAGCTTTCTTCAACTTCCCTCTCTCTGCAGCGTCCTGTAACTCCTGTAGTGTAAAGGGCGGGGTCGGCTCCTCATCCTCCCCTTCCCATACCTCCAGCGGTTGACCCTTGTAAATG